GAAAGGCAGGGCAGCGAGGCCTGCAGGCCCCCCCTCAGAGCATTCACAGCCCTCAATGACTACTCACTGAACTTGAGGACAAAGACCTTTTCTCGAAGGCAGCTTCCTGCCTCCGTGTCTAGACATTCTGTAAGCGGTCTCCTGGTTACAGGGGTCCTGTGCTCCAGCCCCCCACGCCTGCACCCACCTCCTCTCCTTAGTCGGAGTACGAATGTTGGTAGACGCAGCTCCCGTGCTGTGGGATCCAGGGAATCTGGAGTCTAAAATCCGGGTCCCAAGAGGAATCCTGAATCCTGAAAGGAGTTTGACGAGGAGGACAAGGATGGTTAGAAATTGAGCTTGAGGATCCTTTACCCTGGCTGATGGCACAATATGTAAAGCTGCTCTGCCTAGTGCCATTGCCTCTAGACACATGTGGCTAATCAATTTAAAAATTACACGTCACATAAAATTTACCATCTAAACCGTTTTTAAGTATATTCATATTGTTGTACAATTAATTTGTAGAATTTTTTTTTCTTGCAAAACTGAAATTTTAAATCCATTAAACATCTCCCCCTCCCACCTTTCTCCCCCAGTCCCTGGCAATTACCATCCTACTTTCTGTCTCTATGAATTTGACTACCCTGGGAACCCCATGTAAGTGAAATTACACAGTATTTGCATTTTTGCGATTGGCTTATTCCACTTAGCATGACGTACAGATAAATGTACTTTAACATATTCTTAACAAGTGCTTTGTAGGAAATGGCTGTCAGTTTGGCCATCTATGGGAGTTCAATTGGAGTGTTTCATTAATTGGAACTGTTAGTTTATTGCCAACCTGGCAAGAATCCTAATGGGTATTTAGCACAAAGAAGCCTTAGTGAGTAGAATAAGCCCATTGCTTTTAAAGAATTTTGCTTGAAACCCACAGTAAGAGAGAAATATTGTATTTCAACCCAGTACATCACACTTATATTTTGATACCCGAACATAAAGTTTCTTGTACCAACACTTAATCCTTACTATGTGAAATAATATATTCTTTCTAAAAATGTTTCTCTTAAAAAAAATGCTGATCTTATCCACTAAATTGAAATCTTATCCACTCAGATGATTTCATAACCCAAGAAAAGGCCACAACATACCGTTTGGAAAACGCTGCTTTTGACACACCTGGGTTCAGTTCCAAGCCTATAGTGTAACACCCACCCCAACCTCTGGGCCCCCAGAATTACTCCTCAAAACAAACAAGTTAAAAACAAAGCCATCAGGCATGGCTTCACTTCTGGTTTTAATGCTGGTTTAAGTAGAAGTAGTTACAATTGAAAATTCATTCTTTAATGGTTGTACTCTGTTTCTCGAAGCCAAATAGAAATGATGAAAGCATTTTATGCAGTGTATTTTATATGGACGGGAGCACATTTTGCCATTAGAGTAAGTGGAGGACTTCACACGTAAGTCCTTCTGGGATCTCGGGGAAGAGCAGTATGAAAATCTTCATTCTGGTTTTATTGGGAAGCTGTAACGCTGCTCTGGTCAATAGGCATCCTACTACCCACCTGTGACTATTTAATTAAACTAATTAAAGTTTGTAATACAATTAAAAATTCCATTTCTCAATCACACTGACCACTTCAGTAGCCACCTGAGGCTCGTGGCCCATACTGGACACGGGAGACACAGCATTCCCATTGCTGTAGGAAGTTCCTTGCACGGCACTGGTAGAGAGTAGGAAGGAATCCAGCTAAGTCATCGCCGAGGCTCCCGTGTGTAGAATGGTGATCCAGGAAAAAGAAATGGACAATAGCTTTGGCTAATTTGCCGCTGGAGGTGATACACAGGCTGTTGGTTCATCTTACACTTAAAAAAAGACAAAGTTCTGCTCCCCTTTGGCATTCCCAATCATTCCCCAAATTCCGCCTCCCTGGCCCACATACCGTTGCCTACATCCTCATCATGGTCAAGTGACCCAATGACTCAGTCACGCTGACCGAGCAGGGGTCCTGGCTGAAGAGGAGGTGCTTGGCAAAGCCCTGTGGGTTTTATTTATTTTCTACAGACACAGCTCATCACTGCCGCCCCGGGGATCCCTGCTATTTTTAAGGATCAAATAGAGTCAGGTTTCCTCAGAGACGAGACAGCAGTACTTTTGAACTGGCCCAACAATAGGGGAGGAAGGGAAGCCATGTTACCGACGAGAGGCAAACGGGCACAGGTAAATGTGGCCTTTCTCCATCTCATCTCCTCCTGGTCTGTTTCACGTTATTTGGCTGAGTCAGTAGTTCCTCCCACCCCCAAATTCTAGGGACGCTCTGTAAAGGCACTTTATCTTATAATTATTCTAGGTCTCTCTTACACATACAGAGTCTTTGTTTCTCTCTCCCCCCTCCCCCGCCCCCCTGAAGTCTGAAGATAATGCAGTTTTTGTGAACATGGGAAAGGTTAAGGGGAGAAAGAACTGGAGTCTCTTTATCATTCTGCCTTTTCTTTCTCACAAAGCAGAGAGGGCCTATTTCTCTGAGCTGGGAGGGAATTATTTTCAGAGTTAGAGGCTGCCCTGAGCAACGCAGGGAGGAACTCTGACAGCCCGGGTGTGCAAGTACCGGCTAACTTGAAGTCGCCTGGAAGTAGACGGAGCAATACGGTCCCTCACAAAGATGTTTCCAAACCTAGAATGTTGCTGACTCTGCAAGCTGATATCTGCCCTGTTATGAGTGACGTGAGTTGGTTTTGACTGGCTTGCTCAACAGAAATTTTGAGATGCTGCTCTGTTTGAACAGTGAAAAACCAAATAAAATATGTTATACTCATGTAGCCTCCAGGGTTTGCAAAAATATGCTCTCAAGCATCATTCCATTTGACACTCCTGATAAACCTGTGGGCTGGGGCACAACGTTTGCAGAAGAGAAAACCTGGGCTCAGAGAGGTAAAGTGACCTGCTCAGGGTCACACAGCAAGTGGGTAGTGGCGCTGAGTTTTGAATCCCAGTTGCTTTTCTGAGAACAGTGCTTTACTTCTCACTTATATTTCGGGTTTGTAAGATAAAATACATTTAAGTTGGGCAAATAATGACACAAATATGATAGTTGGCTCAATAGATAATAGCAGGGGGTGGGGGAAAGAGCAACTCTAGTTGGGAGGCACGGGTCCTGCCCTCAGGGAGCTTTACTTGAAGAGGAAGCAGTACATGTACAAGCAACAGATGCACGTTATCCTAGAACAGACTGGATGCATGAGTGCTATGGATGCCGAGGAAATGACCGAGTTCTTTATAGACGGTTTTCTGAAAGAAAGGGATTTTGAATCAGATTTGGACGGATATTCACGAAGACTAAGAGCAGGGCGTTCATTCTAGCCAGGGGCAGAGGCGTGGTGGGGAGAAAGAGTTGCAGAGAGTCTGGTTCCGTTTGGTGGACTATTAAGAAAGGAGAACTGGACACCTGTTCATTATTTATTGAAAATCTACCCGCAGAAGACATTGTGTAGAGCTGGGTTTACAGTGGTATGCAAAAGAGACATGGTCCCTGCCTTCCTATTGCTTAGACTTTGGGGGTGGGGGTGGGGAGACTAAGTATTGATTGTTGATAATAAAATAGTTACCCAAATATTTTAGATTTGATTGTTTGTATCATCTGGTGACATAAATGAGCAGAGCATTTGAGCTGGTATGTACAGGAGCAGTAGTTAGCTCTGCAGATGGTTTTGGTGCAGGGAGCAGGGAAAGGGGTGCTCAAGAGAGAAGGCACAGCCTGTGCAAAGGCCCTGGGAGTTTGCAGGAGCTGGCAAAAGGCCAGTGTGCTAGCGCTGAGAGAGTGGAGGGGCGAGGCTGGAAATGAGGCTGGGGAGGCGGCATGAACTTGATCAGATTTTGGTCTTTAGTCTCAGAGCCATGGGAAACCTATCAAGAATTTCAAGTAGGAATGACGTGGAAAACATCTTCCTGCTAAAAAAAACCACTTTGGCTGCAATGTCCGGGGCGGGGGGTGGTGGTGTATAATAGCTGTATGGAGTCATCCCTTAGGAGGCTACCGCAGTGAGCCAGGCGAGACATGGCGGGGCTTGGTGCAGGGGGTGGTCGTGGAGATGGAGAGCAGTGGTGAGTTTCCATGGAGATGTAGGAGATGGAACCTACAGGGCGTGGTGATATGGTAGGCAATGGAGAAGCAGATGGTAAGATGGTTCCTGAGGTCTTGGTGATCTTGTGGGCTGGGTGTGGAGCTGGCCACTGTGATGGAGAACCTTGGACATGGGACCAGCTTAGGGAAGATGACGAGATCCGGTTTGGATAGCCCATAGGCCGTTGGGAGGGGAGCTCAGAGGACTGAGCTGCAGTTAAACATGTGGGCCACTGGTGTGTACGTGACAAGGGCAGCTCTGAGCGTGGAGGACTTTTCCCAGAGAGGAAAGAACATCAAAGGAGGAGAGAAGGATCAAGCAGTGAAGATGCTGCATGACCAGGTAGAAGAGAACAAGCCAGCGGGAGAGGTGGGAGGGGAGGCGGAGGTGCTGGGGTGTTCTGTCATTGAGATGAAGTAGAATTAGATAAAAAGGGGGAGTCTCTTTCCACCTAGACCCATTTCTGTCACCACCCCACAATCTATTATGCACCTCTAGATCCGAGACACTTGCTCAGGGCACTGTGACAAGGTCTGTTGATTTCTTGTCCTGGTGCCAGGACAGACTGCAATGTGCGTACGTCTGCTGCCTGGAACAATAGCCTCCTTTTCTGTCCCCGACACCATGCGCTTTTGGCTGGCACTGCGGTTTGTTGCAGATCTGAGCTTGTTTAATCCCACGGAGCACTAAACGGTATCTGGTCTCCGTGGCTTCGTAATTCTACTCCAGGCACCCCACCGTCACTTGCCAGCTGGGATCTCACCGAAATGAGCCTGCTGCACACAGTTCAATACTAAACCCTTTGAGCTGGTGAACTAGGCTCCATGAACTCGCGGGTGGCGTGTCCCCCGTTCGCCCGCTCCCATCCCATCCGCCTCTGGCTTCTGCTCTCTTCTCAGGATGGCTGCAGCGCCTCCGAGCTGCTGTTTGGTGGCCTTCCCGCCTCGTGCTAAGGACGGTCTGGTGGTGTTCGGGAAAAACTCCGCTCGGCCCAGGGATGAAGTGCAAGAGGTCGTGTATTTCCCGGCTGCCGATCACGAACCCGAGAGCAAGGTGGAGGTGAGTGATGCACTGCAGCCTCTCCATTAGCCCTCACTCTCTCTCTCTTGCTCTGCCCAGCACGCCTTCTTCCATGACATCTGCTCACTAGTCTGAACGGTCATGTTGGCTCTGTTGATTCCATTAGGTTTGTTTATAGCCTTAAAAACAGGGTCATGCCGTAACCGGTTTGGCTCAGTGGATAGAGCGTCGGCCTGCGGACTGAAGGGTCCCAGGTTCGATTCCGGTCAAGGGCATGTACCTTGGTTGCGGGCACATCCCCAGTAGGGAGTGTGCAGGAGGCAGCTGATCGATGTTTCTCTCTCATCGATGTTTCTAACTCTCTATCTCTCTCCCTTCCTCTCTGTAAAAAATCAATAAAATATATATAAAAAAACAACAACAAGAAAAACAGGGTCATATGGAGAATTCTATGTTTATTACTATGGCCCTTATTTTATGATTAAGTGAAATATTTACATGGTTCCAAAGTCAAGTCTGCAGAACAAGGTACAGGCATACTTTGGAGATATTGCAGGTGTGGCTCCAGATCACCGCAATAGAGCGAGTATCATGATAACAGTGAGATGTAATCTTTTTGCTGGTGAAATGCCTGGCTTTCAATTTGTAAAAGATGCAACATCTGTTGAGTACCAGACTGATAGAGGTGGTGGTGGTGGCGGGGTAATCATTTTGTAAGCTAGATAAATGTCTAATCACTATGGGTACACCTGAAATTAATAAAATATTGTATGTCAACTGCAATTGAAAACAAGAAACAAAGCAAAGCAGCATCTGTGAAGCACAATAAAACGAGCGATGCCTGTAGACTCATAGAAGTCTAGCTTCTGTTTTCCTCATTTACTTCACTTCCTGTTTCTCCTGTGGGTCACCATGTTTGGGAAGTTTTTTGGTTTATTCTTTCATTAAAACAACGACACGTATATGTAATAAACTACATGTGCCTGTCCATGCAGGCCTTCCCCTCCTTTCTCAGGTGAACGGGAGCATGCCATGCACAGTACACTTTTCTCCACGTTGCTTTCTTCAACTAAAACCAGATCCTGGAGATCCCTCCGTGTGGCATACAGAGATGTCCTCTCTTCCTCATTCAGAGCTGTATGAGGTTCCATTCTATGGTTATATCAGAGTTTATCCATCCCATGTTGCTGGAAATGTGGGTTGTTTTCCAGTGTGTTGCTATTACAGACAGTGCTGAAGCGAATAACGCTTTGTCTCCCACAGGGTCTGGTCTTGGTTTATATTTCCTTGTTATGTTAAAAAAATTATCCATCAATTTCTATTTTGAGTGCTTAAGTAAAATAGTTTTGTCAGTATTTCTTTGGGATCGGTGCCTAGAAATGGGATTGCTGGGTCACAGGGTAAATAAGTATGCACTTTTATAAAATATAATCAAAGTTCCCTGAAGGTGGTCTACCATTTGGCGTTCCCACCATCAATGTTTGACAACGCCCGCTTCTCCATATTCCTAGTGTGTTGTCGAACTTTTATGATGACTCCTGCATTTTGGTAATTTTAATAAAATTCTTTTATTGGCTGTGTCAGCTCTTACCATCG